ACCCTTCCCAAATCCCCCTCACCTTCACAGAGAAGGAGAGATCAGAACACCCTTCCCAAATCCCCCTCACCTCCACAGAAAAAGAAAGTTCAGGAGACCCCTCCCGAGCGACGCGGGCAAACAGATCCTCGCAGAGCTGCGGGCGAGCGGCATTGAGCAGGAGGCTGTGGGGGGCTCCAGCCTTTCCCAAATTCCCCGGGAGCCCCCCCCGGGTCCCGGACCTGCGGGATGATCCCGCGCTGCCCCGGCTCCTGCCGCCCCATCATGGTGTAGGATTTGCCGGCGCCGGTCTGGCCATAAGCCAGGATGCAGACGTTGTAACCCTCGAAGGCGTGTGCCAGCATCTCCTCCCCGATATCTTGGTACACTCGGCGCTGYGAGGCGAAGTTTGGGTCTTCCTCCTGTGGGGGAATAAGTGAGGGACCCCCTGGACCCCCCTGCAGGTCCCCCCCACTCCCCGTGCCCACCCCGGCACTCACCGAGGTGTGGGACCAGTACGAGTAGTCGAAGGTGAAGTGTTTGGTGGCGTCTTTGGGGAGCTTGGGGTTGGTGATGCCTGGGGTGGGGAGTCGACAGCGGGGTTGGGGTGATGTCCCCACGTCACCCTCAACCCCCACAGCACCGTCACAACCCCCCCCCAAAAAAAAAAAACCCTCTGCATTGCTATTTTTAGTCTGGCGGCAGCTGGTCCTCTGGGCCCGAGGCCAGCACAGGACAAGGACAGAGCCACGGGGGGGGTCCCACATTGCGATCCCCAAATCCACCCCTGCAGGGTCCCCTCCCCAGACCCTSTCCCCCATCTCTGCCACTCACAGGTGGTGTTTCCTTGCATCTGGATAACGCACTTGGCCTGGCGGCTGCTCTCCCGCGCGCTGAAGGGCCGAACTCTGACAGCCACCTTCACCGAGGCGCCCGCCATGCCCGTGATAGCGTCACCCTGTCGTGACAAAGGGGTGTCACCCCCTCCAGGACCCCCTCTGTGAGGTTTTGGGGACCCCCACCCCACCCCCAGCAACACCCCCAGCTGGGGTTGTGGGGAGGGAAAAGGGGGCTGGATCTGTGTCCCTCCCTCAATCCCGCCCAAGGAGAGCCCTAAAAATAACCCGGGGCGATGACGGGTGAGGTGATGATGAAAGAGCCCCCCTGACCCTGCCCAGAACCTCCAAAACACTTTGGCAGGGTCAAAGGTCAGGGGTGGGGGCAAAGGGTGGGATTTGGGGCAGGSAGAGAGGAAGAGGGGATTGAGGACACCCCATGGATCCCCCCCAATTCCCAGGTGATTCCAGGTCAGCATAAACAACACATGACACTCTCCACACCAACACAACCCCCGGCTGGCACTGACTCCCACCAAAATAGGGGTCCCATAGCCGGGTCTGAGCCCCTCCACCATAGAAAACAAAAGCCGTGATCCCATGACCCTGAAAGACCCCAAATGCCAGCACCAGCCCCGTACGCCACTCCTGAACCTGCCTCCACACCCCTGAGACACACCCAAATTTACAGCCTCTCTAAATCTCTTTACACSCATGTCACCCCATAAACTCACTGTCTCCACCCCTGAGATTGCCCCAAACCCCCCGTGGGTTCCATATACGTGAACCCCACACATCTGAAATTCCTCAAACCTCCTACAAACCCCCTGAACCGGCCCCTAGAACCCCGTGACGCCTCTCAACCAAATTCGTACACCCCTAAACCTCCACAAACGCCTTTATAGGCTTCCCAAAAGCTGCGTCTCAGGTACCTGAACCCCCCCAAAACCCCCGTGACACCCCCAAAACCAGCACCCCCACAGACCCCTAAACCACCCTATCACCCGTCTAAATCTGCTCCTACGTCCCCGGGAGCTCCTTAAATTCACTTCGGAGCCCCCAGGACCTCCCACAGCCCACCTAAACCCGCCCCTGTGCCCCTTGTGACCCCCGAGCCCCAAGAGCCCCCAAACCCGCGCCCACTCCCCCGCCGCTCCCGCTCACCGGCCCCGCGGTGCTGCATCCTCTCAGCCCGGGAAGGGTTCCCCGGCCGGGGGCTCCACGGGAAGGCGGCGGCGGCTCCGGGACTGCGGCCGCGCCCGGGCCCGGCGGGGCTGGGCCGGGCCTGAGGGCGGGAACCGGGAATGATGCGTGAGGGGAGCGATGCTCCGCCCCCTCTTAAAGCGGCAACGCGG